GGAAAGAGAAAAGGCCTTGATGGAACTATGCAGAACTTAGACTTTTCTTTATCTGGTATCAACTCACCGTTAGAGGATTATCATCACTCTACGACATTCTTACCACCACCTCCTCCGCCACACGCTAGCCCCCTTTATCAAAATCATCCACAGGCCAATGTATATACTAAAGCGGTAAATGGTTTACCACCGCCGCCATCGGTAGCTGGTCCACAAGGTGTAGCAACAGCTGGTTTTCCGATGAATCCAAATATGCCAAGAGGTGGAATCGTCGCAAGTAATCCTATGTCTATGAGCCATCATCCCTCTGGCACAAGTCTAACCAACTTCAACCTGAGTACCATTTTTCCTGAGATGAATGACAAAGTATGTGGATCCTTTGATCATTCTAATCCTTTGTACTTAAATTGTTTGTAAGAAAATAATTTATTGAACATATTAAATTTACATTTGGACTATATCTTTGAAAATAATCAGAAGTATCAAGATTAGAAATAAACATATAAGTACAAAGGACTGAAACTGGTGTTTTATGATTTTTATCATATATTGAGTAATCGTTGGGCTCTGATTTATTAGATTACTGGATATAAGCCACCGAACGGCATACCATCTGGCTTGTCGCAACCGCCAAATCAATCCGCAGTTTATGCACAGAGGGCCAACTATTCAACGAATCCACTTTGCCATTTGCCACAGGTTTGTTTAATAATTTAAGAGTATAATATTTTCCGTGAATTACGATTAAACGGGAACATTGCCTTCAGGTATCGGAAGGAAGTCAATTTGGTAATAGCGTTCCTCCTCCTCCTCCTCCACCTCCTCCTGGAGTGATTCATTACAAAAATGTATAATAATGTAAGTATGAGTGAGGAACTGGTCATTGAACAATCAATGGTTGTAAATATGTAAATAACTGTGTAATTGTTTAAATTAAAAGAGGTTGATATATATTTATGATATGTTTGATTTTGCATCGCACTGTAAGGTGAGTGATAAAGAATATTAAATAAGTTTATAAAGAATGAACTGAAATAATACAAATTCTACATTTTATTGTTTTGTTACGTTTTAAAAACGTTGTCAAGTTTATTTCAAGTTCGTTTGCAAAACAAACATTTCAGTGAATCTTATATAAAAATTGCAAAATTGTTGATAAATATATATTATTTATTACTTTATTCTTATCAAATTTATCTTAATTGTACATGTATGTAGGAAGCGTGTATCACAGCATGTATTCCCCATCAAACCGCAACCTCATTGCATTATCTAATGTCTTTGGTAGGCGGTTTCAATGGTATTTTTCCAAAAGTAAATTTCTCTGCCATGTACATGCTCTTCTCGTCATCTGTTAATTGATTATCTATCGAGTAATGGCTATCATCGATAATAGTTGCTGATAATGTTACACCAAATGGTTTTCCAAACGGTCCGTTTGTGGACCCCGTGACGGTATTAGACGTTGAACTTTGTGCGAAAGTACCAAACGGCGAAGTAATTTGTTGCGGTTTCGTAGTAGTAGTTGTAACATTTGTTGAACCAAATGGTGAATTCTTCACATCACCAAACGTTGATGTCGCGAAAGGGGAAGTACTAGAACTGGTTGTTCCAAAAGTAGGTCCGGTATTTGCAGTACCAAATGATGTACTACTGGAAGTAGCTGTAGTTTCAGCAGCAGTTCCTGTAGCTGTCCCAAATGTGGGCTTTGAGAAGGATGCCGTACTGGTAGTTTCAAATTGTGAGGTCGCTGTAGCGAAGGGACTCGTAGTCGCAGAAGATATTGCGACAAATGGCGAAGCACTGGAGGTGGACATAATAGGAGTGGTACTTTGAGCATTTCCGAATATATTTACGGAAGGTGTAGAAGTGGAAACACCAAAAGCATTTGTAGACTGTGTAGAACTAAAGGCAGGAGTTGTGTTATTGGATGTGGCAAATATATTGCCAGAAGTTCCGAATGTTGGTTTTTCGCCAAATATTGAACTGGAACTGTTTCCAAAGGTCGCTGAGCCGCCGAAAACAGGTGCTCCACCAAAAGCAGGTGTTTCAGATTGCGAAAATATTCCTGAACTAAAAGTTTCAGAGGACGGAGTAGTTCCGAAAATAGAGTTGGTAGTCTGCAAATTTGAGAAACCGCCAAATGGATTAGCAGTAGAAGTTTTAGCTCCAGCGAATACAGGAGTATTAGACTGAGAAGTGCCACTAAATAAAGAGGATGAAGACGTTGCTCCGCTATTGAATACTGATGTGGGTGCCTGGGACGTTTGATGCCTGCCGAAAACATTGTTCACTTGATTGATTGTTCCGAATATGCTAGGCTGCCCGAAAACGGGTTGCGAAGATCCACCACCGAAAATCGAACCAGATGATCCAAAAGTCTGCGTGTTTTGTCCTGTATTAAATGTAGAAGTGTTTGTAATCCCACCAAATACAGAATTAGTGCTGGTACCACCACCAAACACTCCTAAATTAGTGCCAAAAGTTGGGGTACTACCAAATACAGGATTTGATGTTGTAGCTGTTCTCCCAAAGATTGATGTATTGGTGGTGGATGTAAAGCCTCCAGTAAATGGATTGCTCTGATTTCCAAATGTTTTGTTTCCAAATACGTTTGAGGATGTACTGCTTGGAAGTCCAAGTTGAGGTGTTGCAAAAGTAAAGTTGGAAGATTTTCCAGATGTATTATCATTTCTAGTATCTTTATGACCTGTTCCTAGAATTTCTTTCTAAAAAAAGAGAAAAGTATCTTGAATTACCACTCTATAAAGATTAATATCAGCTTTCTGTGACTTTACATACAAGCTTATTTAATGTTTCACGAGTAGGATTCTTGAATGCATCCCATTTTGTTTTCATATCTCTACACATTTGTTGAAAATGCAGTTTCTAAAAGAAACAAATATACAGGTGTTGAAAGAATTTATAATAGTGCAATAAAGAAAAAAAGAAAGTAAGAATTGTGTATACTGACTGCTTGTTCCACCATTCCATTTTTTTGTGCTTGATACATTTCCCATCGTACTTCTTCTGGAGACACATCTTCCATGCCAGGAATGCATGGTCTTTCGATAAATGGTGCAAAGCATGATAGCATCCACTGACCTCCTCTTTCTGCATTAATTATTTCGTTTGCAACCAACATCCTTATTTCGAAATAAATAATCGTTACAGTACGTTCATATTTTTTGTCAAACAATTTCGTTACATGTAAAACTTACACTATATATTCGTCTTCGTTATAAGAGTCAACTTTGTTATTACCTGCTGAAAAGTGAACATTTTAGTATACAAAGGAAGAACGTAATACAATTATATTTTATATCTTACCAAAAGTATTTATATGCTCCAATTGACAGTATTGCCCAAATCGACAATTCCCTTGTCGATAATATTTACAAACAACCATCTTGCATGTGATTCAATGTATTTATCTTGTTACGAAACTTCCGTCATATTGCATTTTGCACTGATAATCGTATGCAGTATTGAGATATTGGTTTTCATAATGTGCACCAGAGAGCGTAACTACTTTGATTCAATCCGAATACCTTCATTTTACAGAAACAAATAATTGTCTTTACATAATAAAATCTGTTTATCTATAGCGAAAAATATATATGCAAAAACATTAATTTTTACAATTTCAATTTTATTATAGCTGAATGTTTCTATTTTTTGAATCTAGTAACTTAAATGTTTGTCACGTGATTGACCCGTCACAGTTATTTTCAGTTTTGTAATATTCTAAGCAAAATGGAAAACGTTACACGAACATAATTAATAAATAAAAGTATTTAATTAAATTCTTTAAGAAGTTAAGCGGTTAATAATTCTGTTTGATTACTGATAAAAATATTAGTTGTTCGCATTAAATAGTATTTGGCAGTAGTTATTGTTCAACGCATTTAATTACGTACATCGTGGGAATGCAGACGTACAAGTAAAAACACTGCGATGATTCTTCCGTAGGATGTGTTCTAAATTCGGTCAAACTCGTTGATACGTTCTTTGTTCGTTTCAAAGTGCATTTGTGAGAGGAAAAGGGATACAAATAACTGAGTTGCCTTCCTTATCAGTGAACTTCGGAACACGCCCCACGCTGTTGAAACTAAACCGGCTGAACCCAACCCCTTTTGCTATGCACAGAACGTAATGTGTCATTTTTCACGTGTTTCCGTAAACTTTTCGTGAACAAAGCGAATTGTCGAAAGGAGCACGACATTGATTGATTTCGATCAAAATACGAGTTTCTCATAACTTCTGAGCAAGATGGTAAGCGTTATTTCGTGATGTCTAAGAAATAGGTTATAGTAACTTGTGTGTCTCGAAATGATAAAATTTTTTATCAGTTAAGCAGAATGTCCACGTAATGAATTTTTATTTACACTTTGATAATATTTGTTTAACATAGATGCTATTGATTAAAATAATAAAACGTCCAAGGACGGAAAACCCAATTTATGTATGAGTTAATAACTTATGGATTTTTTTGATAATATTATAAGTTATTTATTGTTGATGTTTTTGTTACAGTCGGGAACGCTGAAACCTTATCTAGCAGCAGTGAGAAGAACACTTACTGCTGCTATGTGCTTAGAAAATTTCTCCTCTCAAATAGTCGAAAAACACAATAAGCCTGAAGTTGAAGTACGAGCCAGTAAAGAACTTCTTCTGACACCGATATTAATAAGCAGAAATGACAAAGAAAAGGTATTGATCGAATCCAGTATAAACAGTATGAGAATAAGTATCGCTGTAAAACAGGCTGATGATTTGGAAAAGTTGCTATGTCATAATTTCACAAGATTCATGACAATGAGAGCAGAACACTTTATTATTCTCAGGAGAAAGCCAGTAGAGGTGAGGTTTACTACGTTTATCAAACGTTCATAAGAGAAAGAAAGAGAAACAAATAATTAATATTTCTGATACATTTGACATTGTATAGGGTTACGATATTAGTTTTCTAATTACAAACATCCATGTAGAGCAAATGTACAAACACAAAATTGTAGACTTTGTGATCTATTTCATGGAAGAAATTGACAGAGAAATAAGCGAAATGAAACTATCCATGAATGCAAGAGCTCGCATTTGCGCAGAAGAATTTTTGAAAAGGGTAATTATGCACAATATAACAGAAATAAAAGTATCTATAACGATTACTAATATGCTGTTTTCTATTTCAGTTTTAATTTTACGGACACGACGTGTTAGCAACATAGCAATAATCACAAATGCCAGGTCACTAAAAGTAACAGTGCCCATAAATCAATCTGGTTAATACACAGCCAGACGACACTTTAACGGATTAATCTCCCAAACTGACTTCAAATGCTCCTTAATCCAAACACGCCAATCCCACAGTTTTCCAGTTACGAAAAAATTCATTCGATTACATTTCTCGATTAATCGCTGTTATCTCCAGCTGTGTGTGTAACGAATAACAAGTCTGACATACATGTAAGTACCATAACGGTATTAAATTCAGCACGCGCAGTCCGCGAACGATAGCCGTGAGCATATTCGCGATCGTGCGTTTCGTTTTCCTAAGGGTGGGAAATTGAAACACTTATTGGTGGTGTATGAATAAAGCGTGCAATTCCTTTTGCATTTATAAAGTTCTATTTATCTTACAAATCACTGTAACCATATGATTTAATACTAATGTAAATACAAATAAACGAGAAGAATCACCGTGAGGACATGAATGGCCCCGTACCTCGAGCATCCTGAAGATTAAAACCTCCTAGCATTTAATGTCCTCGAAGTTCAAATATTCTTAGTGTAATTAAACACTACTACTTTTAGTAATAAATTTGTAAATAGAGAATTCCACGTGTTTAGTCAGTTTTCAGAGTTTCTTCGCATTGTGTCAGTTATAATACACTCGACTTTGGTTTCTAGAAATATTATTAGACACTATGTTTGTTATCGTCTAATCGCGATTCATCGTTAACATTAATTATGTTGATTCGTAAGATGATCTTCTTCATTAAGCCTGTTTCAATGTTTATATTATGTAGTATATTCTACTTTAACAATGTCTATTAATAAATTTCAAAGAATTAGTTCCTAATTGTCTATTGAACTAACAAGAGCAGCTAATTCTTCTTCATGCGAACATTGTATGTTCTCCGAAAAGCGCCTTTAAGGCTGCAACGCGCCGAACAAGGAACGAGGGCCCCTTCGAACCGTGGAATCCGTCACGTTCGCGGTGACTCCTCTTTCCACGGGGAAGGGTGCCCCTGTGGAGTCCAGTCGCTCGTCGGTACCATTCACCAGTAGCAGTTCGTGAGTTTTCCGGCCGCCAGGCATCGCGACCTCCTCGCGCAATTCGATCGCGTCTTCCTTCGGCACGCGACAGTAAAAGTGACACCGTTTCTTCGTAAACGTGACAATTAACGGTTAACGATTTACATAATCATACATTAAACTCTCGTCACGAGTGCTTTACGAGTTTGTCTAATAACGTTAACATAAAAGATTGCAGACGTCGTATCCCGAGAAACTTGGAGCACTACGAAGAACCCAGCAAGATTATATCGCAGACGGAAAAATCGAGGAACGAAGAAAAATATCCCCGATCGAAGAATAATGAAGAATATCCACAACTATCCAGCCATCCCGAGCCTAAAACGATCTCCACGAAAAGCCGGCGAACGAGGAAGCGCAGCCTACGGAATCCTCCTGTAGTGGGGCGAAACTTTTAAGCCGTGTCGTCTCGCGGCCAGTTACGAACTTTTACCACCGTTCGGGGTAGTTTTAAGGGGGCACGTAATCTCGTTTCACGTCCGCCGCGATTCCGAGATTACCGTTTTCCAGCCGTCGCTATTTCCCAGGGGCGGCGGGGGTGGAAGATTGTTGACAAACTTCCGCTTTGCGTGGGCGTCGTTTCTGCCTGTATGGTGTAACCGGGTTTTAGCAACGCTGATCCCCTCGAAACACCCCGTTTTCCGCGGCGATCACGGAGCAAGGGGGAGGAAGTCGGCTCGGTAGACCTTCGAGGCCCACAGCGCTAATTCCTAACGAGCGCCCAAAAATACACGGCGCAGAGAGACAGAAAGAGACGGTTGGCTGCAGAGTGGCGCACGGTGGCTGTAGATAGCCGGCGAAGAAGAGGGCCGAGGAGGAGGCAGGTAGAAACGAAAACGAGCCGGATAAATAGAGGCTTACGAGTTACGGGTCTTCCTCGCTTCTCCTACCTTCTTCGCTTTCTCAGCTCCGTATTTCCTTCTCGTAATCCGCCTCTATTTGCCTCTTGCTCGCCATCTCAAGTACCACGGATGTTCGATTACGCGTTTTCAACCACTCTGTTATACAACGCGACATTGTACACGCCATTGGTCTGACCGGACACGCTCGTTCTACTAGATATCGGTCCCCCATTTCCTTCGGTAAACATTACAAGACTCCTCCACAGACTAGCTTCGACGAAAGTTCAAAGGTGATCCCGAGTTCCGACGAATTCTACTTACCGCTACGCGTGATTCCTCGCTGAATCTTTAGTCACTGCGAATGTTCTGTTCTTTTTCGAACGTGCCTCGAATCTGTTCTACCTAACAGATTGTTTGACCAGGTAGACTCATTCCACTTTGTAATCCTACTATCTAGCCTCGTCGGATACTGTACGTCGACCGTCTAACCGGATAAACTTATTCTACTTGTCCCCCTCCTATCCGGGATATGCAAACACACTGAGGGGTTTATCCGATTCTTCTGATTTACTGGGATCATCGTGATTCCTCGATCATCTGGATTCTTCCAGACTCGGTGGAGGGTTCCTCCACTTCCGGTCCCCCGATTCGTCCTCTCCCTTTCTATTTATCAGCTCGCGCTCTAATTCTTCTTCTTTTACAACCACCCTCCCCTCTGGTCTACCCGACACCCCTTCTCCCTCCACGGAATCAGCTGTTCCCTCTCCCTCTCGCGATCACCACCCCACCCCCCGGGTTCCGGTCTCTGTTCGACCAACGGCCGTCGTCTCCGTCGCTCGCGGCCTCTCCCCACCTCGGTCAGCGTCCGGACGCGTCGAGGCGTCCTCGCGGCGCGTCGCGGCGCGCTCCCGGCGAGCTTGCGCGACGCCGTCGCTTTTTACGCCGACGCCGACGCCGACGCAGCGCCGGTGGCTCGGAGTCGGCGTAGTCTGGGGCCTGGCGTCTCCCGATCGGGAACGGGAAGCTACAGGGAGCCGAGAGAGGAGCGTCCGTGTCCGTGCACCTCGGCGTCGTCCTCTTCGTCGTTGTTCCTCGTCGTCGTGCTCGTGGTCGCTCTCAGGGTCCAACCGGAAGCGTGTCCGTTCCCCTGACTCTCTGGTCGTCGAGAAAGTAACACCTCTGACGGTCGGGAGAGACCAAGAGGGACGAAAGTAGCAGAGAAAAAGGGATATAGAGAAGGAATACAGAGAGAAACTCAGCTCTCTCTCTCGGGAGAGAAATACACGGAGAGTCACCCCGGTGCTAAGTCGTAAAGAGATTGGAAGAGATTACGGAGAAGAGGGAAGAAACGGGAAGAAGAACGGAGGTGGAGAGACGAACAGACGCTCCGTAAGGGTTAGCCGGTCTGCTCGCGACGACGGAAGGGAGAGAGAGTCGCGAGAGAGGGAGAGACTGCAAGCAGAGGGAGAAGGGTAGGGAAACTCGGCAGAGGGGAGGACCAGGAGGGGTAGACGGAGGAAAGAAACTCGGGAAGAGAGATAGAGAGAGAGAGAGAGAGAGAGAGAGAGCGCGCGCGAGAGAGAGAGGAGTGTGCTGTACCGAAAGGAGACGAATAGAGAGACGGATAGAGCAGAGGGCGGGTGGGGGGAACCGGAGCAAGGGGGAAAGAGGGATAGAAGGACAGCGGGAAAGAGAGCGAGAGAGAGAAAGACAGAACGAGAGAGAGAGAGAGCGAACGAGCGAGCCCCGTGTCTTGCGTGCCACGAGAAAATACAGAGAGGGCCTAAAGTCGAGAGTTAGGAGTTGTGGCTCGTGGTTAGATAGGATGCGTGTGCCTGGGTGCGGTGTTCCACCACCACCCGACTGCCGACGGTTCAGTAACAACAGCCAGACAAGCAACAACACTAACTGCAACTGCGACAACAACGTCAACACCATTGGCAGTTCACTTTCCGCGGAAAGGAACGACATCGAGTACTACACGGGTATCAGCGCGAGCGCGCGCGACCAAAGGAGGCAAACGCCTGGTGGTTGCCTCGAGCACCACGGTGCCGGCTGTCTGACGGCGGAGACGGCTAGACCCACGCGACATCCGCCACAGAAACCCAGAGAAAGGCCATTCTGCGAGTTCCTGGACACCTGGACCAGCTCCGGTTCCGGTCTCAACCCCCCCGAGGAGTGCCCGAGCTTCGTGGACCCCTGTGGCCCGGTGCAGTTGGAGCACGGGTCTAACTACCGAGTAGTCGAGGCAGCGTGAAGCTGGTCCAGACCACGTATCTCCCGTGGACGCGAAGCGGCTGGCCGACCAGCTGGAGCACCGTCCCACGGCGGCGATCGTCGGCGTCGCGCGGCGTCGGGACGACGCTACTCGCGAGCACAGGCTCGCTAGAGGAGCGCGCTGCGAGCCGGCTTCAGCCTGTACCACAGCCGACGTCCCAGCTACTCATGTTCATCCCGGACACACTGAGGAGCTGCATGGTGGAACCGGATGTCTCGACTTACCTGCAGGCCCCTTCCGTAGGACAGGTGCCTCCAAACATTCGATTAATCGCATTTGTAAACAGTGCTTCGGCCTTGAGTAGAGGTAGACGGAAGCTTCTTGGCTTGGTCGGTGCTTGCTCCTTTCGTTTAGGCTGCTTCAGGGCTGTGCTTCGCGCGGTGTTCACGCTTTCATTTGCTCAAGTTCAACGTGCCATTGCTTTCACGCTTCGGGACTATGGGTTCTTTGGTGCTATTCTCGGTGATTCTGCTGCGGTTTCGTTTCGCAACGGGTGGATGCAATTGTTTCGCTCCGATCGGTCAGGGTGATAGTCGCGATTTCGGGGTTGGAGGATAGGCTCGACGGTTCGGGTTCTGGAAAGTTCTTATTGTTCGTTAGGGAAATTCTATGTCGAGTGGTCTCGTTGTTGGAGAGAGAGAAGGGAGCTTTATTTTCTGTCCGGGTTTCCTCGGTGAGACACGGATTAGGTAGAAAGGGTGGAAAGATGGTGGAACACGTGCGACTCGCGTGTACCAGCCTCGAGTTGCTTTTCCGATCGCTCGCGAAGACGTAAACACGAGTGTTTTGCTTGGAAAGTTCGCGATCCCGGTGCTTTTCGCGGAAGCTCGCCGAATCTGTGATTCATCCGTCGAACTGTGCAACGTGGACTTGTCTTTCGTCAAGTAGAACAGATACTGTCTTCCGTCGAAAAGCAGAAGGCTTATCGCGAAATTACGTAATCGTTCTTGCTATTCCCAAAATCCCAAGTTTCATTCTTCGAGCTGTGATCACGATTTTTCGAAGCTTCCTACTTTAGGATCGCGGTACAATTAAAAATGTTCCAAAACAATCGAGAAATCCGTGGGGACCAAAAGACCCCAAAAACCAGGAGAACTAAAGGGATCGAAAGATCGAAAACTCCAAGAAAACCGTGGGACTAATAGATTTTAAACGATTAAGTGAATCAAGGGGACCAGAAGGCCCAAGATTCCCCGATAACCAAG